TATTTATTATTTAAAGAGAATTCGCAGCAACCTCTTTATTTTTACGGTGATACATGTGTCTCTATTAAGTGAACATCACACAAGTTCCTGAAGATGTCCGCTTATAACTTTTATTTTGCTGGTGATAATGGTAGGGGATGTTTGATTATTTTTCAGCAATATTTTTCTCCCATTGACACAAGTGGTCATTCTTTGCTCACAAATTATACATTCAAACATGGTGTTGAACAGCAGTCTATCTTGCATCAAGACAAAACATGTAAGTAATTGATAGTGGATTAAAACCTTTTCAAAAACTCTTTCCAAAACTGACTAAAAACACCTTGTTCCTGATGTGTTACCGATTTCAAAGGGCTTCCACTCTGCACCAAGCAAAATCGAGAAAATAGAAAATATATTCGATCCAGACACAGATCATAAACGTGCAAAGCATTTGATACATAAGTTGCCAAGACTGCATACATTTGTAAGATACCTATCTTCTAGATTCTTATTGAGAAATTGCCAAATAATAGGCAACACAAGAATAAGGGAGTTCCTATCCCACCATATACAAGGATGTGCAATCTACAACTTATTATCACTATTATCAGTACATTATTATCATTATTATTATTATTATTATGTGCAGCAATTAAATTGTGATTCTTTTTATCAGACTTAAACGTCGAGGACGCAGAAGAGAAAATTCGTGCGCCGGCAGCGATCGCTTCTCAAGCTGCCATTCTCAAGGTTTGCAGTTATCTTTAATAATTTAACTACAGCAATCTCGGAAAAAACTTGATGAGAACAAGGCACAGCCTTGATTATAGTTTCAAGTTTTATTGTGAGATTGCCTAATCTCCTCATCACAAAATTGCAGCAGTTTGAGCACAGGCAGACATCCCAGACCTCCTATATATATCCTATATTTCCTATAATTTGTATAGGATCCTATAAAGAGCCTATATTTAAAGAAAACCTCCTATATTTCCTATAAATAGGACAACTGCTGAGTGATTCATTTATATTTTACACTGTTTAGCATATTTGGCAAAGGAAATAAAATGGCCCCTTTTTTTTTTGGTTCTGTTTTTTTTAAGGCTTATTAGTTCTGCAAATAAATCATTGCCTGTGCACCCTCCCCATCCCTGGTTACACCACCGAAAAGCTATCTTAGCTCCTATAAAGTGCATATATTTTTGGGAAAAAATCCTATATTTTCCTATATTTATCCTATCAAATTTGTCTAAAAAGCACGGTTTTCATGTTAGTTTATTACAGTAAATATATGTGGTTCAACTAATGACTCTCGACCAACGTGGTATTCCTCGTTTGTGAATCTCATCCTCATCTCGTTCTTTGGTCTTATCTTTCAGTATTTTGTGGAGACCAGACTGGATCAGACGTTTGAAGGGTTCTTAGGTCAACTGTTAAGTAGCAGTTGCCTCCCTCCAAACCCTTATCCAAGATTAGTCTCTCATCTTCGCGTTGCTTCTGTCAGGTAATC